AAGCACAGCTAGAATACATATCCTATGTTGCATTCAAAAGCTGAGAGAAAGGATAGGAAATATCCTGTTACACGAACACATTGCCTGGGGATAAAACACAGCTTCTTTAATAAAAAAATTTCTTTCCAAATGTAAATTGGTATTTGATGTATATGGCAAACAAAAGGGAGCAAAATTATTACCACGACAATCCAGCTACGTTTAAATTGCACTTTAAATGACAGGGTATTTATTATAGGTCAAGCTCTTCCCTGAACTGTGTCAAGGACATAGATGTTGTATGAGGGACAAGTCAGAGCAGATCCTACTGCTCTGAGGCAATAAACAAAGGAGCTAATCAAAACTCAGAGACATTGGCCTATATTCTGTTAACCTCCATTAAAAGACTTTTCCTTGGGGTCAACCTTCTTGCTCACATGAGTACAAAACACAGGGGTTTAGCACAGGTAGCATCTGCCTGTACAATTTGTTGAATATTGGTCTTTTCTATAAATTAAAAGGTTCTCTGTGAAAAAAGACTTAAAAACTTCAGTAACATTTCTTCTCTCTCTGTCTCCCAGGTATCCCACACAACCCTGTCGTTTCGGAAAACTTTTATTGCTTTTACCAGCTTTACGTTCGATTAGTCCATCTACAATAGAAGAAGTGTTCTTCAAAAAGACCATTGGGAACGTACCAATTACAAGACTGCTTTCAGATATGTACAAATCCAGTGACATATAAATTACCTTAAAATAAACAATCAGGATGGACAGTTTGAGAAGAACTTTTATCTATGGAGAATAAGCCTCAACTAACAAAATCTACAGGAAGCATAAGCCTGGGAATGTTTAGCCTTTAAACCCATTGACAAAAAATACCCCAGTAGATATGATTCTGCTGCTCTGAACAGAGTGATTTAGATCATGGAGAGAATGCTTTGTTCTACAGAAAAAGTGAAAGTGGCTGGAATTTGGCTGCTATTCCTGTTACTACAGGATGGAGGCAATTCAGATGCCAGTCATAGTTAACAAAGACTCCACTATTCTCTCATTTAACTGGCAGATCTGAGACAAAATGTGAAAGAAGGTACTTGAGTTTGTGCAGTATTTGGAACCGGGTGACCAAACCTGGCTTCTGTTGTAACATGAGATGCGGTGGCCTTCAGAACTGTTTTAAAAGTAGCCTATGTTGGGAAAATGTTTTTAATATGATAGGCAACATTGAAGACCAGGTTACCAAAACATTGCTTCTGCTATAATACATCATGAAGTGGCCTTCAGAACTGATTAAAAAGTAGCTTATGACGGCAGCTCCATTCTCCCTGCAAAATGAACTGGTGATCTTTGACGCAGATGTCACCACAATTTGTTCCGTTAACATCTCAAAGACAGAAAAGCTTTATACACTTCCTCCCCGACCTTCCCTCCTTCCACACACACAGACACACATTCACACGCACCCACCTGAAAAGATACAAGTCAAGAAAGGAAGACTAAAAGCAGCAAAACCAAATACAATGGAGATGACCGCTTCAGTGACCTGCTGGCCGTCCCGTTGGCACAGTGCTGAAACCAAAGGCAACGGTGGCCAAACTCTTTGTCAATTAGATGTGCAGAGAAGCGAAATGACTATTAAAAAAAAAATCAATGGAAGGAATTTTATTTCAAAGAAATAAAGGTTGTTGACTGATACAATGCTAACAATTTCCAAAAGTTTCCAATGCCTTTTTAGAAAACTCCAGGTTCTAATTTTGAAGCCTTGTTCGCCTACACCCTCTCTCACACAAAACCGTTACAAGCTGCTTATTTGATGTATGAAAAATGTAGGAAAAAACATTTAAAGATAGCTGCTGTACTTTTCAAAATTTGATTTGTTATTAGGAACTAGCACTGAGAAAAATCAGCACTTGGACTATCATAGAATGAGTAAAACTTTTCCTGTGCAAAGTGGATTAACTGATTTGTGAAGTTAAAAAGTTGTACTCATTGTATTTACAAAGAATAAAAATATATTGAATTTAAATTACTTTCCACTGTTCTTTTAACACTTGTCCTTCTACTTCTGGATTAGTTTCTTCCACTGCACCCTACTCACCAGGCAACAGAAATATTCTCTACTAAAACGGATTGCCTTGGATGCCATGGAGTCTCCACCATCACAGGTTTTAAAAATCAGGTTAGACAAACATTAAAGGAATAGCTTAGGTGATCGATCTAGCCTTGGAGCAAAGGGACTTTGAGGTCCTGCATAGATCTGTTTTCTGTAATTCAAATATACACCTGCTGCAAGGTTTCCTTCTCAAGGAGCTGACACAGAGCTTTTTCCAGGACACAATACTAAATGGATCAGAGGTCTAACAGTGTAAGTCTTCTGTTTCATGCTACTACAGTTTTTAATATCAGTGAATTGTGAAGCTAACAAAGGGTGATGAGTACAAAACCATTGCTTTAATTAAAAAGATTCTGAGGTTTTATTAAGGTGTCCAATTGTGCAATCACACCAAAGAAAGAGGTAAGCAACCCCCAATGCACAGAACAAGTTGGCAATAGGAGAAGGGAAGTATAACATGTTATGGCAATGAGTGACCGAAGAGCCATGCTCACTAAAATGACAGGTGGAAATGTACAGTGTATATCAATGGCTCCTTGGTTTTCAGTGTCAAGGAATACAGATCACAAGTGAAATCCTAGCTCCATTGACTCCAAGCACAAAAGTCTCACACTTTTCAGAGGTCCAAGTTTTCACCCAAACTCTCTTCCGTTTGATTTGTTCAGACTGCTAGGTCTCACAGTCTATCCTTTCCAAGACAGCCAGACCATGAAGTATACAAGACCAGTTCTTTGAGGAGTCGGGTGAGACAAAGCATGGACTACAGGACTTCAAAACATCTTCTGTACAAACTAGCACAGAGTATTTGAGAATGCATTTACCACAGGGCACAGCACATTCTTAGAAAGAAACCAACAAACACTTTATGAAGTGTTCTTCCTGCCCCTGTAATAACCTTCAACCATCTGCTGCTCTCTACACTGAAAAGAACTGGACAGGGCAAAAAAATCAATTGTGGTTCTCCACTTTGTGACAATTCAGTTTATGACCTAAAGAAGTTGAACCCAGTGCTGTGCAGAACCCATGACAGAACACTTGTTTCAGTACGAATTACACGGCTGTCCCAGAACAGCAATAAACACGAACTGCGTCCATGCTGCAAGGCAACCGCACGCTGCAGTGTGCGGTGGTCCCAGTCCCCAGACGACCCAGGCTAGAGGATGCAACAGAGTGTACTGGCTTTCTCCCAGTTGCAAAGCAGGCAGGGCAATGGGTGCACACCCATATCTCATCCCCTTACCTGCAGGACCTAGCCCAGCTGCAGAGCAGATTCACCAGCTGGGAACAATGCCCAGATCCCTGTGGTTTAGGCACAGCTAATCTCAGATCATGTTTTCTTCCCAGTACTGTAGATTGCAGAGACGCAGAACCAGTTAGGCTACACTAGAATTAAGGTCTCTAGTTAGCCTTGAAGGACTGAGGGTCAGCTGAAATCCCAGAGTCCAGTGAAGATGTCCTGTCACCCTCAGAGGTTAACACTACAAAGTCCTCACTTTGGAAACAGGAATGCTTTAACATCAAGCATACAGTTTTTCCCTCTTCAGCTTATTCTTTTCTTTCCACAGCAGATGATACAGATTGTGTCACCATCTTTTAGGGATAAGATGCGGCATTTACTTTGACTTCTGAAAGAAGCTTCTCTCAGAAAAGAACATTTGAGAAAAGAAAAGGAACACCTTACTATGTATCTAAACCTAAATAATAAAACTTTGCATACATTTAGCCCTTCTTTCCCCATTTCCAAGAGTAACTCAATTTTTAAGCATGGTTCAACAAGCACAGGGAATTTTAGAATTGATTTTACATCATCAAAAACTTCTTGAAAAGCTAGACTGTATTGAAGAGCTACAGCTCTGGGTTGCAAGTGGGCTCTATCAGTTTTGGTCCCTGGTTTCACAGCTAGGACTTTTGGATAGATGCAGCACAGTTTCAGTTAAGTATGAGGGGCAAAGAGCAATTATTTGAGCACCTAACTGTTCGGTGTAGCTAGTTACTAGGACTACATACAATCCAGTCAGCCACCACTGTTTTGTCAGTTCAATCATCTACATCCAGATTTCTGTAAATGAGGTTAAAGGTCTTAGTTAAAGGAAACTAGTAACTTTGCAGGATGTTCTTGACAGTGATAAGAAGTATCATAAGAAGGAAAAAGCACCAGAGCCAAGTCTAAGCCAACACATACTGTTACCAAATAACACAAAACACTGGATGACTGCTATGAGAGTGTTCTTGGATCTGTTTTCAAGAGCATCTGGATAGGTAACTCCCATGTCACTTTTGGAAGCATTAAGGAAGCTTCTCCAGCCATAGAAGCAGCTAGCAAGAAAGCAGACTTCAGCAGCAGTGCTTGTGAACTGCAGTTCAGGCATCAACCACCTGCATTTCACCAGTGGTTATATAAGCACAATGCTACCGCTTCCTTTAATGTTCAGGGAAGTGGTCTATGAGCACATCCTATAGCAGGCTTGCATGACTTCATATCCTTAATTGTATTTGTAGCAGAGCAACTTAAATTCAGTCCTAGATTAATAATATATTACAGGTTACATCAACATTCCTTTTCTGTAGGATGGAATCATTTTCACTTGCTAGTTGACGTTAGATTGGTGCTTCTCATGCCAAGCAGAAAGGTACCCTTCTCCCAAACTTACTAAAGCCACAGCTCTGCTGACTGCCTACCATGAATGGGGTTCCAGCTTTGGCTCCACAACACAGGAACAGCCTTCAATACCTTTACATGTTCTTTAACACTTGAGTGGCAAGTACCAGGATCTAAGGGATTTAGTGCTGGCTGTTAGTAATGCAAGACTACATTGCATAACAGCATCATCCCAGCAAGGCTGACACACCAGTTCACTTATAGTGAATTCCCTGCTTCTCAGAAAGCATGAGATACCCCACACTCAAGGTCAAGAGTGACAAAACATTTGAAGTGCATTTTCACTTTTATTTCAAAACTTTAGACAAGTTACTTTAGTATATAAATTTGATTTTTTTTCTTCTTACAGAATATAAAGATAATTCCCTCATTACTTCAGTATAAAGTGTTTTACAAGCTTGAAGACAATTGCATAAGTGTTTCTCACACAGGGTATCAGAAATAAAGCAGTCTTTCTACAGAAGTTCAGACAGATGACTACCTCAGAACAGCATAGCAGTTTAGTCAAATACAAGTGAGCATGTGACATTATAACTGTGAAAGTTCAAGTAAGGCCAAGTCAGTAAACATTAAGTCATTGCAAATAAGAGTGGAAAGGTTTGTGAGACATTGCAAGGGGTGGATAGTCTCATAGTATAATACTCTTAGAAGAATTCAGAGGGATTTAGCTAGAAGACAAGTGAGTTCTTCAATGCTATAAAGCATATGCAAAGACCAAGCAGTGTACTGATGTTAGTGGAGACTTCGTGCCCGTTTATCCTCAGCATGCTAAGACAAACTACAACCTCCTAAAACCAAGCATAAGAACCACTGATGTTTGAGAAGATGGTTTCAGAACTCAAGTATGTCTTATTTTGGATGGTGTGTAGTTTTTGTCTATTACTTCATCTTGTAAGAACATGTGAAGACAGCGCTCGTTCTGTGCCAGCGGATGGCCTGCAACCCTGGAGAGGAAAAAACAAACATTAGTGCTAACAAATTTGGTCTACTTGCAGCTAGCCAGTAGAGCAAGGTTTTATACCAATAACCTATGGTTCTGCACTTCGGCATAGATCCCACTTCCAATTCACTGTTGGTGACTAGAATGAGATGTCTAGCAGCAAGATTTGTCATTCCCCTCCAGATGAAGTTAGTCCATAGGAACCCTGAGCTACCTTTGATCATTTGGAAGCACATTACATTATCATCTGTCACCTGCAATTGAGGGGACTATCAAAGTGCCCATCCTAGCATTAGGAAATCTAGAGTTAAGCAAGCCAAGCGGATTTTTACAGGTCTTGATGCCTTTGACACAAGACACCTTTCTAAAGGCTGCTTAACCCCCCAGTTCTCAGTCTCATTCAGTAACAGGCTGGACAGAGTTAAAGACTGAACTCTGCTAGGGGGTCTGAAGGTCTTCGGGAGGCTCTGACGCTGTTCAGAGCCATGACTTACCATGGTCACTATTCCCAGCAGGTACCAGCAGCACTGATGCACAGCCGGAGGGTACTGGCTGCTCTGTTAGTTGCAGATGTCTTTAGATGTGAAACATAGACACAGAGCTTGTCCAGTCTAGAAGAGACCAGTGTCTCTACTGTAGATTTAGTTTTGTTCCACATAGACTGAGCCACCACCTTTTCAACAGGTGAAATTAGAAGACACTTTGAAGTTTGGAAGAAAACCACAAGGTATTGCATTTAAACTTTCAAAATACCATGCAGCCTTCTGTGTAGGCAAAAATCCAAGAGAATCAGAATCCCTGGAAGTAGATCACTTATGGATATGAAAACCTAAAGCAGTTTGGTTTGAAAAATGTTATGTCCAGTTTGGTCAATCAAGACAGGCTTCTTCCTTTAAGAGAGAAAGCCCCTTTATCCTCCCTAGGACAGCTTGTGTCAGCCTTACAGCCTCCATATCTGCCAGAACATTTCTACTCTAAAAGGAAGTGATCTAGTTGAACACATCTAATACATAGTCAACTACAGTGGCTCAGCATCAGTACTTCCAAGCACTTTTGTGCTTCTTCTCCAAATGTATCTATCAGTGGTTATTTCACCACAGGACAGACTCACTAGTCACTACTCACTTGTCATTCAGGGCATCCTTTAATGAGGAAGCTCAGTTCTCCTATTCAGCATTGATAGATTCTTTCAAGTATAGTCATAAAACCTATCAATCTTGCCAGGTTCTAGTAAATGGGCAGCAGTCTCAAGCACTCATTCACAAGGAATACAGTCTGAATGAGCTAGTTTGAATTTCTTACCCCCATCAAACTGAAGTTGCTGGCCTTGAACTTCAAGAGAAAGATATACAGGAGAAGATAAGGCAGCAGCATATTCCTTCTCCCTTTCAGGAAGGCTTGCAGATTGGTGGCTGAATTGCAAGACCAGATCTCATCTCTGAGATTCAGCTCTCCGTTTCACATGAATACCTCACTCTGCGTTGGCTTTTCCTCAGTATTCTTCACTAAGGTGACCCTTACACATAGCAGCTACTACTTCAAGAATTTTCATGTATCCCAAAGTCAGGTTCAGGCAGACAAGAGTGTTGCAACATAGCCACTCCTATGAACGTCACTCTAGGTAGCACTGATGGTGATGCCAGCAAGCTGGCCCAAGAAGGCTGACTCAAGTAAGCTGCACTGCTGTGATTTAGTCCCTCTAGATTTTACCTCTAGAGGGATAAAGCTTCTCAACAACATCCATCTTAACACTCCTCGATATCAAGATCTTTTTTGGATACAGTGATATTTGTTATCTGAGGGACTCTTCTCTAGTTCTAGAAGCAAAGACCAGTTTTGAGAATGCAGTAATGTGAATGTATTAGGCAAATTACCTTCAGGTCTAAGTTCATTATTATACAGAGTACTTGGTAGAAACCTTAAACCTTCTACACGGGTCAAAACTTTAATTAGTAATATTTGCTTGATGAATTGGTCATGCCATTAGAATAAATTGGTGAGGTTGAATAGCTAGGAGTTGTGCCCAAAGAACCTTGTTCCAGCTGTACTCAAGTCTGCGACTACATCAATATCAACATTAACAGCCTGCTTATGTTTCAAAGGAGGAAAACTTGACCAATAAGTTTTACACTTCCACAAGATCAATGGATTACTTGCTGTAGGACTGAACAAGTGATACTGGCCACTCCATTTCTGCCAGCTATACTGAGTTTTTCAGAGATTCCCGTTAAGATGACTGTTTCACTATCAGCTGCTTCAGAACATGAACAGTCCTCTTCCCCCACATGTTGCTAGATTCAGCATACAAAACTTTCAGTTAGTGGACTTCTGCATTTAATGTAGAGTCCCAAGCCTGCACAGATAAAAGTTGTACTTCACAGTCATGACTGCCTTGATTGTACAGCCTTAAATCACCCTCCTCCATTCCATCTTACTATAAGCACATCTGTCTTCATGTAGTGTAAATGCAAAACTGGATGCCTTGGAAATTCATTCCACTTGTTTTTGAACAGAGGAAAGAGCAGCCTGAAGCATTTTATCTGCTCAGAACCATTAGCAATACCTCTAAATTGAGCTAACAAGCAACTATGTGAAGAAAAACTTAGATTTCATAGTCACACTTACTTACAAGACAGTTTTAGTAAACTAGTCACTTGCAACTCCAAACCACATGCCTGAACTGACAGGCAGATTCTCATAAATTCTGGTTTAACTCACAGACATCCTCTGTCCCTGTTAAACAGCATTACTATTGAACAAGATTAGAATGCTAGCAGAACTGACAAGTTTGAACTTTTAAAGGGAGCAGTCCCAAATCCAGTTGGTCTGAACAGTGTTGGCTCTAGAAACCAGAAGACCTGGTTAACTGACAGTATTCCTTCTTAACCACTGTTTGGATCCACGTGGTTAAAGATATTAAAGTAGCTCTTCAGGTCAATACACAAAAAGCAGTTAGTAGTGTCAGATGGTAGAAAAAGAATCATAAGACTTTGGTACTATAATTTCTGCTCACCCTTTGAAAGGCAGTGACAAACCCCAAAGTGTCCACTTCAAACTACATATGTGCATACCTCAGATAGTGTTTTTACATCTTCAGAAAGATTCTCAGGATGATTAGAGAAAACATGCATCATTACCCAAGCTGGTAACACCTCACATCTGCAATCAAAGTAAACTGCTGTAAGCCCATTGTAAGCTCCATTGTTCATCCAGTGGAGGATAACTTTTTAGAAATTAAAAAGTAGAACTATTTTGAATGCTGTAATTTTTGTAGTAATTTGCATAAATTAACAACACTAACATTCATTTCAGCTGTTCAGGTAAGCATTAAGATATCCAAACTAAACACTGGATGAGCAATGTTAGTATGTCCTACTGCAAGATTATGTGAAAGTTATTCTGAACCTAGTGCAGCTACCATAGCTAGAGGATTAGCAGATTTAATTCAGTTTTCTGGAGCTGAGTTCTTGGTTTGTCTCCAGATAATGAGACCCAACACTTACTTGTTTATGAATTGTTCAAGAGCCTGTTTCCTTTCCTCTATAAAGGAATCATCAAATATGCCGTCATCTCCTCGGAAGGGGAGCTGACGGAGAAGAGCTTTTCCTGGTAGAGGTGGTACCACAACCTGAAAGATTTAGAAAAGTGTTAAGCACAGCCTGTAAGCAAGTTTATACAGCTCCTGTGCCACCTATTCCTCCTAGAGGACCCAACTCATCACATCCCTAGTGAAGTAATAAAACATGACCAGAGAAGAACAGTATCTGTGCACAGAGGTAAGCTGAATTCAAGTAGTTTAGTGCTGAATTAACTCACAACCATTACACAGCCTCTAGCATTGTATAACTGAGGTTTGCTGAAAGACTGACACTGCTATAGTTCTGGACATTTTCAAGCACAAAATCTGCTCTATATAATATATATGCTTTATAACATAATGATAACATTTCAGCATCACCACTCTTTGTATGTCTTTGAAGACTTGTATTTACACTTCATTTTACCCACCTTACTTTCTCTTTCTAGTTCATTCCTTAGCCATTCAAAGTCACTGTATCTTCTTCTGACTGTAGATTCTTTCAATTTGAAGATAGGTAGATTTGTCTGAAAACAAGAACATAAGCTATTGATTAAACAACTTAGAAGTTTTGATAAGCAGAAACAAGAAACAAGCTGTTAAGTTACAAATTAATTCCACTTAAGCAACAACAATGGCATTGAGAAATACTCAAGATACAGAAATACAGATAAAGCTCTGTAAGCTACATGAAGAAGCTGTGCCCCTAACTGCTTAACTGTGGGCCTCATTTATATGGCATCCTAATCACCTGTATTTTGCCACCATATCACCTAACAGAATAGCAGATTTGCTGGCCACTTGAGGAGATGCTCCTAAGGTTGCACAACCATCCGCTATTCTTACTGCCTTAGCAGCTGGATTCCCAATGCAAATATATGTACAAAATTGGAGGGGGAGGTGGGAAGGGAGTTGCTGGTGTGTGGGGGAGAAAAAGTCTTCTTAATCCACACAGGTTCCTCTTACTGCATTGAAGGGAGTGTTTCAGGTACCAGCATAAGACACTAACCAAGCTTCCTGTACTTTTCTGCTACCTGGTACAACATGGCCTCCAACATCTTGAAAAGCAAAACCTTTAAGTCCTACAGTGAATCCATTTAGGACAAAGCTGAAGATTTGATAGTACAAGCTGCCAAGTTTGGATAGCTCCAAAGAAGCTAACAAGGCTGAGATGCAACACAACATTCAGTGCTGATGAGATCCGACTGTTTTGCTACAAAAGTTAAAGCAAGCAGAGCTTGATTAGGCAGAACTTTCCTGAAAAAGGCTAGGAGTCAGCACCCAACTCTTACACCCTTGAAAGACATCAAATGAGAGCCAGGCCATAATGCTGCACAAGACCATGTTAAATACACAAGCACCCCAATACGTGTCCTTCCACTAACTTGTGTGAGAGCCTTTATTATTTCTGTGCATTCCTGGGGTGCAGTGTTATCCCATTGTTGTAATCCAACTTGCATGCTATTTTAAGAGTAGACATTGAGAGTGCACTCTTGCACTGACATCTCCAGAATGGAAAGCTCCAAGACCTCATCTGAAGTTTAAGTGTCATTCAGGCGGCAAACTGGCTACAGTATTACAAAAACGTAGGAGTTATGACCTACTAAAAGCAAGACCGAGAGTCTGTAATAGCCATACATAACCAGCAGTAACAGAAGGAAGCTTACTGTTTTCAGACTGCATATTCACTGTCTTAGTACACCCTTAAAGAAGACTCTTGAGGAGCACCCTAGGAAGCTGTTGTTCACATAGGACTACAGTTATCGCCAGTTTTCCCGTTGGCAGAAGCACAGTAGTTGCTCTCAGCTATTGCCTTTCATTCTTTGTTGTTTTATTGTTTAAGTTGTAAGCCATGTCACTCAGCTTCTGGTCGCAGTTTGAGTGGATATTCCTGTATGATATCATTTGTAGGATGTTATACTTAAGCAGCCACTGAGTGATGCTTTTGGCTGTTCACAATAGGTTTAGTTGCAGAGACACTTTCCTGCATGAGGCAGGTCTACGACTATGGGCCATTGTATTACTGACAGCCAGTAACAAGATTTTGGCTGTCACAGTTCAAAAGTACTTTAGAAGTTAGTTATGTACTTTCACATTATGCTATTTAGACCATAATTTACAAATTATGAAGTACAGAACAGTATTTTGTTATGAAACCTCCTATTGCTAAATGTTTAAAAGTATTCAAGCTCTCCTTCCCAGGCAAAACATTGTTGATTGTACTCGTGACTAATAATAAAATTGCACTTAGACTATTATGTTGGAAGTCAGGCTTTATAAATAAACATTCTTTTCTTGAGGATAAGAATACTTTACTTGAGTGAATAAAGTTGAGTCCCCTAGAGTGCATGAAGGAGATTCCCAGAAGTTAAGTACTGGATTATTTTTCTCCAATTTCAGCTATTAGCTTTTCAACCAAGTTCAGCCTTCCACATTACAACATCAACTCTTTGTCAGTGTCTCAAGTAGAAAGTCCTTTACAATATTTAACATATAGGCTCTCACCTGCAGAAAATATTCCATTCTCAAGTTACTTACAAGAGGGATTAGAACTGAATAAAAGCAGTTAAAAAACAATGAGTTCCCAGATCTTCAGGAACTCTTCTCATGCTTCTGGGCATGAGGTCTATAAAGTTAACCTCTAAACAACACATCAGGCTTACAGGTACAATGTGAGGGCAGAAGGGCCAATTGAGCTCATTTTACCTTCTACATTCCCTTTTGAACTTTTGACATGCTAGCCCAACTAGCAAGTTGGAGAAAAGGACAGTTAGAGTACTTGGCTTTTCTTCAAGTTGAAAAGTCTCCTCCAGTTTTGATCATGATCACTGGAAGTGTTCAAACTAGAGAGTATGCTAGAAGGCTCCCATTAAATGAAGTGGCTTACAAGTCACAGCTTGACAACTACATGCCAAAGGAAAGTGTGTGTCCCCTGTCCTTTGATCGGGATATGAATTAGAGCTATCTGTTGAGATTACCTTCTAAACCTCACATTTCTTAAAACACCCAAACTGCAGCAACTCTCCTTTCTCTAGAAATTAATACTGATAGAGCAGTGTTCTTCAGATATGCAGCTGCTAGAAAGGATCTATTTTAAAAAAAGCAAGTTGAGAGTGCTGTTTTATACTGCTTAACCTATTTACATACTAGGTCCCTACTTTTAACTCATGACATATCCACACCTGAAGTCACTGTATGTGCCTTTCTCATTAGGCATTATCTTGTTTGAGCAGACCACTTTTTCCTTCAGTAGGAAGGGTTTCTGCATATCCTACTGCCTCCATCTGCCATGGCTAGATGGTTTTCATCAAGCAAGCCAGACAGCTGGTGAAGCATGGGCAAGAACTCAGTAGAAGGAGACAACCCTAAGGTTTCAACAGAAACTTTCAATTTCTATTGAAGTGTCACTTCAAGACCACACAGGATATCAAAAAAAGTTATTCTCAGCTTCATAGTTTACATTGAAAGTTATCCTTGTTTAGTCACTGAGGTACCAGTAGCTATTCTGAACACCGTTAGTGCTTTGTTTTCCTGCTAAAACAGAGGTAAGAGTAAGGCACAAAACTTGAAGCCAGGCTAGTATAATTTTTACAACACTTCTTCCCATGCTCATTCAGCATTAGCGTTGGCTTTCTGGCCTGCTGATTTGTAAAGTCTACTGTCATGAAACTCATGACCCAGTTTGGCACAGCCCCTGGAGCATAGCTCATTCCTCTGACAAAATTCAGCATAATTACTGCAGCAATTGTTTCTTCTACAGTGTAATAGTTAGTCTCATTTTTATCAAAAACACTTTCAACAGCTTTAGTCCAAAATCATGTCTCTCAGCAGTTTGAATGCAAGCCCTCAACCTGAAGGGATTATTCATTACCCAAGACATTAGACAACCAAAAGGCACTACTCAGAACTGCAGGTAAAGCACTATTGCAGAAAGACCAATACACCAGCTCTGCAGAAGGCCCACCTAGCCCAAAATCCTAAGCCTAGAAAGATGCTAAGACAAGAGAGATTCTGCCTAGAACTGTTTCTGTATCAGACTAGATGTAGACACCCATTTAGCTTTCTCTGACTACTGTCAAACTAAGTCTGTATTCTGCTGGGTGAACTAATGGCCAAACCAGCACACTGGAATAAACATTGCCAGAACTGGTGCCAAGTTAAATACATGGTTAAGAAGCAGGTGACAAACCCAGACCCTTAAGTCACTCCCGCATTCTTCCACTCAGATGCCAAACAAGTTTCCACAGTCATTTGGCTAGAGTTCACCTAACTGGTAATGGGAAGCAGTAATTCCCTGCTAACAGATTTCAGGGCAAAACTTGTATTCAGAGTAAGGATGCCTCTTCAGTTACATTTATGTTATTATAACATATTCAAACTACAAGTCCACCTCCAAACTTAGGAGACTCCCAATTCACCTCAGCAGCAAATGACAGTCCTAAGGCAGTAGCTTGGATAACAGGTAAGTCTCCTAGCTGTTACTATGGTCTAAACCCAAGCTATACCCAGTTCGAAGTCCAAAAATTGTTTATGTATACAAGTGAGGAGACTTTCACAGGCAGAACGCAAGTAATTTGAGTACTAGTCAATACTGTCCACTCAGGTTCAGATACAGAGCTCTCCAGTGCAGCCATTCTGGTACACGAGTTACCTTAAATGCAGGAGGAAAACTAGAGTATTTTATTTAAAATATACTAGTGTATAACTATAAGTAATTTTAAGTGTTCTGTTATCTAGACTAGAATAATTTATCCATTGAGAGGAAAAAACCTTGCAAATAGCCAGACTCGCTCCTAGAAATTTGTTTCCAGACAAACTGAATGCAAATAGAATTTGGGTTCCTTCAAAGAGCATGCTGACACTCCACAAGATTGACTCTGAACATCACTGCAGCCCAGTCCACCCCCTCAACTGCAGAAACTCCACAGCTGTAGCTGTCCAGGATAAGTTTGACTCATTTGCTCATCTGCCAACATAACACTCGTCCGCAGCACTGCATTGCCCGCATCTCCCACTCCTAACAGACTAAGAATAAAGCTGCACTGTTGCCATAGCACCTACTTTGATGTTGTCTTTTCAAGTAGGTTATGGTAGCCTTGATACAACTCTATTTCCATTAAAATAGAGTGAAAGAAAGCACTCAGCTCACTTTTGATAGAAGTTTATGGCCTTGACTCTCAGAAGCTAAATTCAAGCTTCTTGCTATCTCTTCATATAAGCTGTCATTTTTAAGAGACTACACCCTTCGGGTACATTTACAGTCAGCCAATGGGTGCTCCCAGGTGTTACAGCAAGTAGCATTCAAGATGGATAAAAAAGTACTATGGTTTTAATGCAAGAGCCTGCTGTTCCTTTAGTACAAGAAACTGGCTCCAACGGTCCACTGTTATTGCAAAAACCTTGCTGGCGGTTTGTTTCCTTCCTGACTTGACATAAGCAGCTACTACCCCATTTCCTACAATTATAAAAAGCAAGAAAGGTGGCAAACATGCTCTAAACTTCAGTTGCTAGAAGTTTAGATATTTGCTGTGTACCTTACTGAAGGA